GCCAACGTGGGCTTCAGGTTCCTAGATGACAATGGCGTATTGCAGCCTATGCGTGTGAAGACGAACAACAGAGAGCCTACGCATTTCTCCGCAGAACCATACCCCGGCAGCAATGAGAACCTCACGGTTTGGACTTTCCACATGGTCGCCGATTGCCACGGAAAAGTAAAGCTACAAATACGCGTAGATGATAGTGGAAGCGCTGTGGTAAATAGCATAGAGGATCAGAGAGACTACGCTTATAATCATAATTCCATCAGCACTCTTACGGCGGTGAGCCTTTAAATATATGGACAACCCACACGCGAAGGAAGATTGCTTTATTCATTACTTGGAGGAAAAGGATTGTAAAAATGACGAATGGCACGACACCGGGCTGTGGGTGAAGGTTGGGGGACTAGGATTAATCATATGCACTATTAGTATGTYGGAGCGGTATTCGTGTAATATTGGATTTAGGATTGTTGACGAGACCAACGCCCCATTGCTGCCTTACAGAACGAAAAATAATAATAGGCACCCGGTTCATTTTTCATCCGAGATCAACCTATATAGCTTTGATGACCTAGTACCATTGACTTTTCACATGATAGCCAATTGCCAATATGCGAAGCTTCAGATTCGCCCCAGCGATGCTGGCGGAGGCGGCGCCAAGCCCAGCATTGTCCGAATAAATGCTGCGGGTAAGGCAACCGAACCTACGCCGGATGCTATTTGGAATCATAAACCTATTAGCACTATGAGCGTGCTGACGCTAGTTCCGCATTATCAAGGCGGCGCGAATACTATCTTTACTTATCCCCAGTCGAGGATGCCCAGGAGGCCTGACGACGATAAGCCCCCAGTAATACACAAGGATAAGATCAACTCTTCATCTTCTTCAGGAGTACCACTCCAATAGCGACAACCAAGATCCAAATGTTATTCCCCACGAACTTCAACAGTTCACCGCCGGCCCTAAGTGCCAGGCCAAGAACGCTACCAAGCAGCCCAGGCAAGCCGGCTGCCATCTTKTTTCCCAAGTCCGTTAGACCATTGCCTAACTTCTTTACGCCTGCGCCCGTAGTCTTAAGCGCGGACAAGATTACCCCTACTACGCTTGAAATAGCAACCGCAAATGCCAGCGGAACGCCATACTTCACCAGAGCTCTTTTTACCTTTTCCTTRGTGGTAAGTCCCCGTTCCCGCTCTGCGGTGGTAAGTTCCGTCTTTGCCTCTTCGAGTTTTTCCAGGGTGGTTTCCAATTCCCTTTCTGCAGCTGCCCGCTCTTCTTCGGGGCGTGTTTGGTCGGCTATTATTTCCCGCTGCACGTTGGCGTGATGTTCTAATTTTTCGACGGCACCACTTAATTGCCGAATTTGCTCGTCTTTGAGGGCAATTTGATTTCGCAGTTGTATGCCTTCCTGTTCGGCTTCCGCAAAGGCATTGGCGGAATTTGCAAGTCTTTCATCCAACCTCGTTACGAGTTCCACAGCATCCTTAAAGGACTGAATTGTTTCAGCCTGTTTTGCTTTGACGTCGTTAAGCTCTTTTTTGACTGCCTCGTATTTTTCATTTATTRCGTCCTTTTCCTTTTTCGCAGTTTGTAGTTCCTCGGTTAGTTCTTGCATTTCTCCCCCGCGGTCRTACGTCATGTCTTTGATTTTATCCATAAGCCTTTCTATTTCCGCGTCTTTTTCCCTTTTGATGGAGGTTATGGCCGCAAGCTTTTCCTGTTCCAGGTCCTCGATTTCCTCGTTCTGCCTTTCTATTAACTCAGATAGGTCTTCGACTTCTTTCTTTGCCTCGCGAAGACATACAACTTTTTGGTCTTCTGTTTTTCCACCTACTTCAGGTGGCAGTTGCGCAAAGGYGGCGTACAACCTTTGTTTACCGATGTTTATGCGCTCCTCGGACATTTGCTCCTGTATTGCTAAATTAGGTTTCCCAATAGCCTGCCTTAATGTCTTAGGAATCTTTGGGTCGGCAAAGAACCTTCCTTTTTCATCTTTTATTACGTAGACTTTAGAGCCGCTTCTTGGAAGTCTGCCCAGAATTATTTCTTTGCCCCATTCATTGTCTTCATCAAATAACATTATTGCTTTCTTAGGATCCCAATCKGGTAATAGTTCCACCAGCCTATCAAAGTCATCCGGCTGTTCTTTTTCCATGGATTCATCCATCTGTTCCTGGATTTTGCTAAGCCATTGAGCGCTGGGAGGTTAAGGAACTAAATCTTCCATTTGTAGATATTCCGGAATGGGTTTGTATGGATTCTTAGACCTATATTTGTCTCTTAAGGAATGCATAGCATCGCGGAATCTGCTGCCATACTTCTTAAGTAACTTACTAAAGAGACCTTGTTTGTCTACGTTGTCATCAGGAAGTAAAGACTCGTATTCTTCGTCGTTAATGTCGATTTGACCTTCTTCGGTAAGGGAGTCAAAATCCGTTCCTTCTACTTCCATTATATATGATAAGCTCCAAGTTAAACCCCAACGTATTGCCTAAGCAGGTTGGCGGACTAAAGGCAGAACGAACCATTCACCGGGTCACCTTTACCCCCAGCAGCGCAAAACCAGGAGAAACCTTGTACGTAGGCGTACCCCGTCTAACGGATAACCTAGTATTGGTTCCTGGCACGTTAGCGCTAAGGTTTGACCTAGCGGTGCAGTCAGATACCGCAGACGCGCGTCATGTCGTCAATAACGCAGGCAGGAACCTCGTTTCTAAGATGAGAATCAAGTTTGCCGGGGAATCCCTCTTGGACTTGAACAGGTACGATCTGTACGCCACCTATAAGGACCTATGGTTGACGGCCTTCGACCGCACGCAGAGGATAGAACAAGGAATCGCCAGTGATACCATACGCAAGGTAAGAAGCGCAGCCTCTGGCGCCTCGGGAGAAGACGAAATAAAGGCGGCCTACGGTACTAAATACGTTATCCCGTTGGACTTCGAAGTTATCACGAACCATGGCGCGTATTACCCAAGGCAGCTAAGTGAACTGCAGTTCGAAGTAACCCTAGCAGATACTACGAACATCCTGCAGGGAAAGGACGTAAGTTCCTCAGCCATCCACCCATACTCTGTTACTAACTTGGAGCTGCAGTACGAAACGGTATATAGCGAAGAGCTGGCCCGTAGCGCCGGCATGGAATACAGCTCGGGGAGGCTTTTCTTTACGATCACGTAGTAATGTACAAGACGTTCAGCTTTACGCGTCTTTGAAAACAACGACACCAAACTGCAATGCATAGTGCAAGGCGAAACTTTGTACTTTAAGGCGAAGGAAGTGGCGGCTGCGTTGGATTATGAGAACACCAAGAAGGCTATTAGAGACCACGTTTCTGAGAAATATCAGAAAAGATGGGCCGACATGCAAGGGGTCCTAAACCGTTCCCCTTCTACTGTCCACCCACATTCCGTGTTTATTTCCGAGCCCGGCTTGTATCAATTGATATTCAGCTCCAGGCTGCCAAAAGCCGTGGAGTTTCAGGATTGGGTCTTTAAGGAAGTCCTTCCCGCATTAAGGAAGACCGGCAAGTACGAGATAGAGCGGCGCTTTGACGG